AGAGTCTCACAGGGACTTTCCCGCCCAGGCTGGTTTTGAGCCATGATCCTCTTATCTCAGCCTCCTGGGCAGCTAGGATTACAGGTCTCAGCCACCAGCACCCGGCATGTCTCACCTTTTTTACATTCCATTTTATGAACCTTAGGGTATCTCACATTGAAAAACAGAAAAACAGATTCAGCTTCAGGAACATGTTTCTAAATAAGATAAAGATGGCTTGTAGATTTAGCAGATTAAAAAAATCTTACATTCTGTCTGAGTGCAAATTTGCTTTAGTTTTTTTCTAGTTTTTCTGATGTGAGAAAAAGTAGTCAAACTTGTTATGTGATTGAGTGACACCAAGGAGGTGACTTCTCATGGAATGTGAAGGATTGTTAGTAACTGGTGAGAGATCACATCCTTATGAGTAACATTAAACTATCTTAATGAACTTTACTGGAGTTGCTGAAATAGTGTGGCCTCACATAACTTTGGATGTTCTAAGGGACTGAGTAAGCTTAAATTACTCTCCATACATACTTCTTGGAGTGTTTCATGGTCTTTATCTTACTTAATTCTTAGACTGTATTTGATGATATAGTCTATGGCCTTTCTAGAAATCCCTCTGTTTTATTCTAAAGTATCTTCACAAGACTTTTCTTCTAAAATGTTCTCTATTTATTCTGTTTCCTGCTCAGTAGCTTTCTTTATTTCTCTTTCTCATTGTATCTGTTTTTCTCTCTAATTTCCTCAGTCTGTCTGCCTTCTATATGTCTCTTACTTTTTTCTTTTCTTCAAATGCTCTATCTAGGAACTAGTTTTCCTTACTGATCAATTTTCCTTTGCTGATGTGGCGCTTAATATTACTGTTTCCCTTTCCCGTTATAGAGGGAAATTGTTGCCAACTATAATCCCAGGTAGTTCTACAGGATTCCAGAGCCAAAGAAAATTAGACAAACACACACAGGGGTCCCAAGGCTCACTAGCCTTTGGACCCTGAGTCTCCACAAGCACGCATATTTGCTTGAATTTACATAGCGAAAGTTACCATGGGTACATGTAAAAACTAAAGCATCCCTCCTGGCGCCTAGCTACTCAGGAGGCAGAGATCTGAGGATTGTGGTTCAAAGCCAGCCTGGGCAGGAAAGTTCATGAGACACTTATCTCCATTTAACCACCAGAAAACCAGAAGTGCCACTGTGGCTCAAGTGATAAAGCGTTAGCCTTTAGCTGAATAGCTAGGGAAAGTGCCCATGCCCAGGGTTCAAGTCCCATGACCAACAAAAAAATAAATAAAGCATCTGTATTTCTATTACAATCAGAGCCAAAACAGAGTTTGTGAGAGACAATTTTTCCTGTATTGTTTTGAGACAGGAGTCTGCAACCAGAGAAAGTCCAGACATGAAGTCCACATTACCTTTGCCTTCAAGGTCAATAGCACTGAAAATTCAGTGAGCCTTTCCAACACTAAGGAAGGGGTGTGGCACTCCAGTCCCTTAACCCTCTCAAGAGGTGTCTGTTTTAACTCTTTCATGGCCAGCTCTCAGCATTCTGAGTACAGTTGATGTAGAGTTCCCAACTTCTCAAACCTTTTTCATCTTCAGATCAACTTCAGAGTTCCCTATAGAAAATTACTACCTTCCATCCTTCAATAAACAGCAACAAATTGATTTCTCCTGATTCTCTTGTCTTTGTCTGGTCTAACCTCATTTGATGTGGTACTGAGGTTCTGCTTTTTCTTCTCTGTTTGAATATTTTCATTCGCTGCCAATATGATATAGAAGCAGGTTTTGATAATAAACAGTGAATAGGGTTTTTTATATTTGAAATATCACTGGTGGCAAAATCTGACAGACTGCTCAGTAATAGACTTTGATCTCTCACTAATGTTTGTGGCAATATGTCCTTAGGAATCTCCTGGGACAAATGATTCAGGAATATATGACACATTCAAACAGTTGTCAGTGAAAAGATATACAAAGATTAAAAGCAAGGCACACAGATTATAATAATTTGTATCTTTTGTCCATATGTGTTTATTATTAATGCTATTTGTAGTGTACCTTTCCAGCTAAAAACTTGTGATACATTTTCAAATACTTTCAACTTGTTATTTCACTAGGAAAAATAAATACGTCATATCTCTAGAATCCAAAATGTGAGTTTTCCATGTTGCTTTTTTAAGCCTGTTCTTGCTGTGTAGTTCAGGCTGCTCTTAAATTTGTTATGTACCTTAGGCTGGCTGTTAATCCTTTTTGAGTTTCCCAAGTTTAGAGAGTTTACATGTGTTTCATCCTGTGTGGCTACATTAACCATTCTTATATGTCAATTCAGTGATACAACATACAGCCAAATTGTTGTGCAGCCCTCCTTTCCATCTATCTACAACAAATTTTCATGTTCCATATATGAAGCTGCATAATCATTAAATATACAGCTCCTGTTCCTCTCTATCCTAGTGTCTGGAATCATCTTACTTTTTGGTTCTATGAGCTTGTTGATCTTTGGAAGCTCAGTAAGGGAGATCATACCATGAATGTTGCTTTATGACTGGTGTGTTTTGTTCAGCATATTGTAGTAGTCTGCAAAATGCAGTCATTTTTTTCTTTTTCAACACATTTATCTATGTTTTCCTGCTTCTATCTTTTGGTTATTGTGAGTAGTTGTTATGAAGTGATTCCCCAAATGTTTGTTTTAATGCCTGCTTTCCCTTCTGTACAAATCTAGAAATAAAAGTGATGAACCATATTACTATGTAATTATCTATTTAGTTCCTTTTAGGAGTCTCCATACCATCCGTGATAGTCTTATATTCCTGAGAGAAATGCACCAAAGTTCACATTTCTTTCACATCTTGCCCAGCAGTTGTCAGACTTTGGAAGCTTTGTTTGTTTGTTTTTGTTTAAAACTATGTCCATATTAACATGTGTAAAATAGTTATTTCATTGTAATTTTTGTGTGTGTCAGTTGTGGAGTTTGAATTCAGGGCCTGGGCGCTGTCCCTGTGCTCTTCAGCTCAAGTCTAGCACTCTACCACCACTTGAGCCACAGTGCCACTTCTGTACACTGAAAAATCACCTCTAATATAACCTGCAGGCCTTCTTCTATGTACTGTAAATCAACTCTGATACCTATTACAATTTAAATCCTATGTATATAGTTGTAATACCACATTGTTCATAGGATAATGGCAGGTGCCAATTTTTTTTTGGTCTGGTCGTGGGGCCTGAATTCTGGGCCTAGGCGCTGTCCCTCAGCTCTTCAGCTCAAGGCTAGCGCTCTACCACTTGAGCCACAGGGCCACTTCCGGCTTTTTTCTTTTTGCTTATGTGGTGCTGAGGAATCAAACCCAGGGCCTCATGCATACAAGGCAAGTGCTCTACCACTGAGCCACCTTCCCAGCTCCAGGTGCCAATTTTTTAAAACTATTTTGGTTCTCTAATTGAGTCTGGGCAACTCACAAATATGCAAGTGTTATTAATGAATTCTCTTTCCCTGAAAATATCTTCCATCTACATTTTTAAAAGAGTTCCTCTGACCAACGTATTGTGATTTGAAGGTTATTTTCATTTAGCACTTTACAGTTATAGTTCCTTTATGTAGTTTAGTCAGTATTCACCTGTGGTATTGTCAAACATAGCTTCATTGGAGGAATTGTTGGCCATTCTTCATCTGTACTGGGGTTTGCACAACAAATTGGTACTATATTTCTCTATTTCTATGTATATATTATATTACTATATTCCAACTTAAAAAAATTCTTCTATAATTTTTAGATCACATCATTCTTTATTCTTATTTTTCTGTTTTGTTTCTAGTAGTCATATTTCACTTTTTTTTGTTTTTGTATTGTGAATGTTCCTTAAGCCCCTATTTGCCTCCATCCTTCCAGGAAGGCCTATTAAAATGAAGATTTGGTCAAGAAACATTTTTATTCCCCACCCACCTATATTCTGTATTGTAGGAGATAGGTGATGTGCACAAAAGTTCATGCTGGAACTTCTTCGTTTACTCAGGAAGGACGTATCAGGATACTATGTCCACAATTCCATCTTTAAAATTTAATAACAAAATGATTAACATAGGATTTTTTTTGGGGGGTCCGGTCGTGGGGCCTGAACTCGGACGTATCAGGATACTATGTCCACAATTCCATCTTTAAAATTTAATAACAAAATGATTAACATAGGATTTTTTTGGGGGGTCCGGTCGTGGGGCCTGAACTCTGGGCCTGGGCGCTGTCCCTCAGTTCTTCAGCTCAAGGCTAGCGCTCTATCACTTGAGCCATAGCGCCACCTCCGGCTTTTTTCTTTTTGCTTATGTGGTGCTGGGGAATTGAACCCAGGGCCTCATGCATGTAGGGCAAGTGCTCTACCACTGAGCTACCTTCCCAGCCCAACATAGGATATTTTTATTGTGGGAACTAAGTCAAATTTTGTAAGTGCCAAATCACTCATTAGCTATTTTCTTGAGTACTGTTATTCCCTTTTCATATTCACCAGGACACTGTGCTGTTTTTAGATCTACTAATGGAAAATGTAATCCATGGTATGTACTGACTATGTTCTGATTGCTTATGAGACCACTTTTTAATAGATGATCTAAATAGGCTTTTTAGCGACCCAGAATATGAAAATGCAGGAAAAAACATTTGTTTGCTTCTTTGTTTCCCTGAGATGTAGTAAACTTTATCAAAATAAGCTAAACACACTCTTTCAGATACCTACTTTGACCTAATGTTGTCATGCCACATAACTACCTTCTTAAAATTATTGACTCGTCTGTATTGCTAGCACCAGAAATGTGTCTGATGTATTAGGGAAACTTTCTATTAGTAATGACCAAATTAATATAGAGGAAAATATTTTTAGTTTGATTTTTGTTTCTCCCACTGTATAGATAATACTGCAAGCTCCAGACATTTTATGTAATACGAAAGGATCTGTGTAGAAGAATGAAATTCCAGACTTAGTGTTCTTATGACTCAAGGCTAATTACTTGATGGAAATGTGCCGTTACAGAAGCTGGTGTCATTTCATGATGTTGCTGTGCGTTTCAGCTGGGAGGAGTGGCAGCACCTGGATCTTGCTCAGAGGACCCTATATAGAGATGTAATGCTGGAGACCTACAGCAACCTTGTGTTCTTGAGTGAGCAAAAGTCATGTTAATTTGCAATGTCAAGTGATGTGTTTTTAGTAGATATGTGAATATTTATGAAACTTGTACTGCTATTTAGGTATAAGATTCCAGTACATGAGAAGTGTCATTTCTTTCTAAGGAAAACTTCAACTTGATTGTATAACACCTGAGGCAAGTTTATTCTCATTCTTCCAGAGGCTAAATCAGCAGTTTGTCAGAAGTTCTAAACTATGTTCCACTAACAGGAGACTGTCTTCCAAACTTGAGATTATTTAGGTGGATATACAATCTAGAATAGAATGTATATCACTGTTGGAAGTATGATCTGGAAATCACTAAAGCGAGTATTTCTAATTCAAACCTGGCACTGGCTCCAGTGATTCATGCCTGTAATCCTAGCTACTCAGGATGCTGAAATCTGAGGATTTTAGTTGGAATGGCAGAAAAGGCCCCATGAGATTCTTATCTCCAATTAACCACTCAAAAACTGGAAGTAGAGTTAATATTCAAACTGGTAGAATGTTAGTCTTGAGGAAAAGAGCTGAGTTCAAGCCACACAACCAGCGAAATAAATCCAAAGTTGGGCAAATGTCACCCATGGAGCCAGAGAGAAATGAGAAACAAGAGTTAGCAGCAACTTTGTGTACAGGATGTATAAAATTTTACAGCATTTATGACCCAGTATGAGCAGTAGTTCTATACTATTTCTTCCTAACAGGGCACTGTGCTCCTAAACCTAAATTGATTGTCAAGCTGGAGCAAGGTGCAGAACCATGGAGAAGAGAAGCCTCAGACAAGAATCTCACAGGTGAGATAAAGCATGTTGCATAGTGATGAAGCCAGAGCAATAATGTTCCTAGTTACCCTGAGTCCTGAAAGTAATAAAGAACTAGGTGTCAAAGACTTGTAAACTAAGAATGCAGTGAGTATTTGGGTACAGGGAAATATACCATTTGACAACTATTATTAAAACATTATGGGCTCGGAAGGTAGCTCAGTGGTAGAGTGCTTGCCTCACATGCATGAGGCCCTGGGTTCGATTCCTCAGCACCACATGAGCAGAAAAGGGCTGGAAGTGGAGCTGTGGCTCAAGTGGTAGGACACTAGCCTTGAGCTGAAGAGCTGAGGGACAGCACCCAGGCCCAGAGTTCAGCCCCCACAACTGACCAAAAAAACAAATATTATAACATAAGAAATAGGTCTTATGTACATTTTTCCTGCATAACTTTGGGTGAAAAATACAAAGTTATAACATATATACTTTCTATGGTGTTTAAATATGTAAATGAAACAGGTAGAATACAAATGCATAATGGAGTCCTAGGATACCTTTGCATTAGGAGAAAAATAGTTCATATATTTTAGCAAAAAAAAAGTTTCATATATTTTAGCAATAACTAATTTTAGTGAACTTGTGATCCATTTTTTTGGTTTCAATTATTCAATTATTTTTTGTGAGAACAATAGTTTTTATCATATCTGTATGCATTAGCCTAGAAAAGAATTGCTTTAATAATATCTGTCTATCAACTAATGGACTGTGGATCCATTTTTAGTGTAGAGAGTTTAATGCTGTACTTGAGACTTAAAAGATTCTTCTCTCAAAAGAATGCTTTATGCTTTTCCAGCCTATGTATAATGTTTTGAGCAGGAATATCTAGGGCAAAACCAAACAGGTTCTTTCCTGACTATCTCTTGCCTTCTCTCCTGGCCATGCTACCAGAACATTCTGTTCATTGTCAACAGCAAGAAAGAATGAAAGGATTTCTGGTGAGTTGCTTTTTATTTCTCACTTTGTCTTACATTCCATGTTATAAACCTAAGGGTGTCCAAAACATAAGAACAGAAAAACAAATTTAGCTTTGGGAATATGTTCCTAAATCAGATAAAGATATGCAAAGTTAGATTAAAAAATGGATGATATGACAAAGTAAACAGGACTCAAGATACCCATACACAATGAGATGGACAGAAGATAGTCTTAGAAGAAAAGTACTAAATTGTAATACCCAAGCACCTCTTCATATGTAGAATATGCAGCTGAAAAGAACCCCGAGACAAGGAAACAAAGGACTTCTTAATTTGTCTTATATTTAGATGATGCTGTGTTGTTTACCTCATAAATGTACATACCACCTGATATATGTTACGTTAACCCTGTTGTATATCACCTTTAAAACAATAATAAAATAATCAGAACAAAATACTCTCAAAACTCATAATTACCTCAAAAAAAAGATGGCTTGTAGATTTAGCAGATTATAAAACATTACAATCTAATTGGAATGCAGATTTGATTCCATTTGTTTCAAACAACAAAGCAGATTTGATTCCGTTTGTTTCAAACAACAAAGCATCTATAATAATATTACAGTCTTGGCCAGGTACTGGTGGCATACACCGTAATCCTACCTACTCAGGAAGCTGAGATTTAAGGATATCAGTTCAAAGCCAACCCCGGCAGGAAAGTTCCTGAGACTCTTTATCGTTAATTAGCCACTGGAAAACCAGAAGTGATGCTGTGGCTCAAGTAGTAGAGTGCTTGCCTTAAGCTGAAGAGCTCAAGGACAGTGTGCAGTCCGAGAGTACAAGCCCCATGACCAACCCAAAAGACCAAAAATTACAATAAGAGCCAAAAAGAAAGTTTGTGAAAGACACTTGTTCCCTTATTCTTTAGAGACAAGAGACTGCAGCCCAGAGACAGTCCAGACATGAAGTCCTCTGGACCTAGCCTTCAAGACCAACAGTACCCAAGGTTCCATTCCCAGGGGGTACCACTGCAATCCCTTAATCTTCTCTAGAGTTGCCTGTTTTAACCTTCCCATGGCTGGCTAGCTGTCAGCATTCTGAGTATTGTCAAATGGAGTTCCAACCTCAAACCTTTTCCGCTTTCAGCTCCACTTCAGAGTTCCCTACTGAAAATTACTACCTTCCACCCATCGATATACAGGAAAAAAAATTAATTTTTCCTGATTCTATTCCCTTTGATTTAATGTCATTCAATGTGGTTGTACAGTAGTGCAGTTTTATTTTTTCTTTTTGCTCTATTTGAATATTTTTATTTACTGCCAGTATAAGATAAAAGCTAGGGCTTGGAAGGTAGCTCAGTGGTAGAGTGCTTGCTTTGCATGCATGAGGCCCTGGGTTTGATTCTTCAGCACCACATAAGCAGAAAAAGTTGGAAGTGGCGCTGTGGCTCAAGTGGTAGAGTGCTAGCCTTGAGCTGAAGAGCTGAGAGACAGACCCAGAGTTCAGGCCCCACAACTGACAAAAAAAAAAAAAAAAAAGATAAAAGTAGTTTTGATAATAAACAGTACAGAGGCTAAAGTTTTTATATTTGAAATAACATGGACGGCAGAATCTGACAGATATTTGCTCAGTAATAGACTTTGATCTCTCAGGAATTTCACTATTAGCTAATATGTCTGGGAATGTATCCTTAGTAATCTACTGGAGAAATGACTCAGGAATACATGACACATTTGACTAACAGTGAATGAAAGGATATATAAAAACTAAAAGCAAGATGCACAGATTATAATAACTTGTATATCTTGTCCATGTGTGTTTTTTATTAATGGTATTTGTAGTGTATGTTTCCAGCTAAAAGCTACCTTAACATGTTTTCAAATACTTTTAATTAGTTTATTTCAAAAAGAAAAATAGATACGTAAGTCATATCTCTGATAGCCACACAAGATGCATTAACCATTCTTAAATGTACAGTTCATTGATATTATATATGGCTGCATTGTTGTAAGACCATCCCTTCCATCGATCCACAGCATTTTTCATCTTCCATATATGAAACTGTATAATCATTAAATAGGCACCTCCTGTTCCTTTAAATCCCAGTCTCTGGGTCTATGAGATTGCTGATCCTTGGAAGCTCAGTGAGGAAAATCATACCATGGCTGTTCCCTAGGATTGGTGTATTTTATTTAGCTTTTTGAATTCAAGATTCATCCCTGCTGTAAAATGTACTAAACTTGGGGCTGGGAAGGTGGCTCAGTGGTAAAGTGCTTGCCTTGCATGCTTGAGGCCCTGGGTTCAATTCCTCAGCACCACATAAGCAATAGGAAAAAAAGCCAGAAGTGGCGCTGTGGCTCAAGTGGTAGAGTGCTAGCCTTGAGCTGAAGAGCTGAGGGACAGCGCCCAGGCCCAGAGTTCAGGCCCCACGACCGGACTCCCCCCCCCCCCCCCCAAAAAAAATATACTAAACTTTTCTTTCTTTTCAATACATTTATCTATTGTTTTACATACTTCTAAGTTTTGGTTATTGTGAGTTGTTGTTATAAAGTAATTCTCCACATATGTTTTCTAATCCCTGCTTTTTCTTCTTTTGGATACATACCTAGAAATAGAAGTGCTGAACCATATTCCTGTTTTATATTTTATATTAGTTTTATATTAATTTCTTTTTAGTACTTTCCATGCCATCTTTGATTGTCACTATTTGTTACCTTCTTTTTAGAAAAGTCTCTTCAATATTTTCCCATTTTATACTCAGATTTTATGTGAGGGTAGTTAGTTGTAGGATTTTGTTTTATATTTACTCATTCATTCTAGTCATTAATCTATTTAGAGATGTGTGCAAATACTTTCTTTCATATTAGGCTTTTTCCTCTTTTTTTTTTTTTTTGGTCAGTTGTGGGGCTTGAACTCTGGGCCTGGGTGCGGTCCCTCAGCTCTTAAGCTGAAGACACACACTCTACCACTTGAGCCACAGCACCACGTCCAGTTTTCTGTGGTTTATTAGAGATAAGAGTCTCACCGACTTTCCTGCCCAGGCTGGCTTTGAACCACGATCTTCAGATCTCAGCCTCCTGAGTAGCTAGATTATAGGTATGAGCCACCGGCCGGCTTTTTCTTCCTTTTTGACTGTGCTTTCTGATACATAAGGTTTTAATTATATGCATTTAATTTTGTTTACTTTTGTTTCAGGCACTTTTGGTATTCTATCCAACGAATTTCTGTCAAATCTAATGTCGTGAAGCTTTCCTCTCCTACTGTCTTCTTTTCTTCCTTTCCCTTTCTCTCTTTTTCCCTCCTCTCCTCTCTCTTGTCCCCTCTTTTTCCTTCTTTTCCCTGTCCCTTTGCTCCCATTCTTTCCTTCCTCCACTCATTTTTTTTAATCTTTATGTCTCAGATGAGGACTTGCTGTGTTGCCACAATTGGTGTCTAACTTAGGAACTCACGTGCTACACCTACCTCAGCCTCCACTATGCCTTTCTCATGCTAGTAGTGGAACTTGAATGCTCAGGCCTCACAGTCAATCAGCTTCCTCGTTTGCTGTTGACACTATCATTTGAGTCATGCTTCCAACCTGTTTATTAGCTGCTTAAATTGCGTTGTCTATCCAGGCTGGCTTCCAGATTTCATCCTCCTTAGTAGCTAGGATAGAATAACAGTCTTAAGTCAGAAGTACTTGTTTTGTTTATTCTTACTTGAACATTTAACATTACCAGTTAATTGGATACTGCAATAAAACAAGATTATTGTTACTGGTTTATGTAGAATTAATATTCAACCCTATTGAAATATTTCATGATTCAAACTAAGTGTTGTATTTTGTTGCTAATAATTGTGACTGTTCTCCTAACTGTGGTAGATTTTCTTCCCTAAGCAAATAGTTTATGCTGGCACAACTCCATGGAGGAATTGTTTTAAAATTAATTTAATTTATTGTTATTATATAGGTGCTGTACAGAAAGATTACAATTATATGAGTCAGGTAATTAGTACATTTCTTTTCACACAGTGTCTTCCATTTGCTCACTCTCTCTCAATCCCTCCCTCCCATCTCTTCTCTCATTTTGTATAGTTTACTTTCATCAGTGTTTGATGACATCCCCTGCTGTATTTTTTCACCCTATTTCCCTGGAGTTCTATGGCTTTCCCCACCGTCCACAAGATATATGTGTGAATGCACCACACATAATTTTTGTTTTAAAGGTGAAGTACGAAAGTGGTTACCATTAATATTTTATAAATCACAATGATACAGTACATTTCTTCCAGCTTCATTCTAATTTTCCTTACTTATTGCACTGATAATTAGAAGTACATTATTTAGTTTAAATGTATTTATAACATAGCTTTATATCTCATATTGATTTCTAGAAAGTTTGTCTTGAGACTTATTCACAGTGTGTCTGTCTTGGAAAATGAAATACCACAGTGCTTTAGAAACAACATTTAGGTTCAGGTAATGCCATTATTGTGTGTGTTCCTGCCGACTTTTTGTCTGGTTGTTCTATCAGTAAGAGATGCATTAATTCTCCAATAGTAATTGTAGATTTAATAAATCTATGATCTTTTTTTTCTTTTGGTTTGAACTCAGGTCCTGGGCACTGACACTGAGCTACTTAAGTAGCTCAGTTCTTCCACTGTCCCACTTGAGCCACAATGCCACTTCTGGCTTTTTCTGTTTATGTTGTACTGAGGAATCAAAACCAAGGCTTCATGCATGCTAAGCACGTACTCTATCCATAAGCTACATTCCAGTCCTAAATCTATTGCCCTTTTAATTTCTTTATAATACAATTAACTCTCTGAAATCAGGCCTTCATATTTTCCATGTAAGTACAATATTAATTGATCCATATGCCTAGTACATATACTTGGTTTTTAATATACTTATATGTTTATGTACTGAATCTTTACACATTATGCATAATTAATATGGTGCTATCAGATTTTTCTTATGTAAATGATTTTAGGGACATTGCATAAAATATATACTATATATTCCTTTATACTTACCTACATATTTATGATTTTAATGACCTTGTCCTTTGTGTTTATCTATATTACCATCTTTTGTTATTCTCTTGAAGCAGGATTATTTCTTGTGACACTATTTAAAATGTATATATATATTTTTAATGAATTGTATATCCCTGAAAATATCTTCAATCTACATTTTAGAAGAGTTCCTCTACTCAATGGATTATGATTTGAATGGTATTTCTTTCAACACTTACAGATATATTTCCTTCCTGTTTATTAGTCAGTATTGCCCTCTGGTATTGTCAAGCATGGCTGGATTTGAGGGATTATTAGCTATTCCTCATTTATAATGGGTTCAGTGTGGGAGTCAAAAATCTCTCCTTTTAGCCTTGATTTTTTTCCCCCTCCTTTTAGCCCTTGGAAAAGAAATTAATACTACATTTCATTCCAACTTTTAAAATTTCCTTCTATATTTTTACATCATATCCCTCTTTATACTTTTTTCTCTATCTTGCTTGTGGCGGTCATATTTCACATATTTTGTCATCTTCAGTGTTCCTTAAGCATCTATCCATTTGCCTCTATCCTTCAATGATGGCCTGTTAAAAGGCAAATATGTTCAAGAAATACTTTATTCTCCTCCCACCTATGTGCTGTATTGTACAAGGTAGGGAATGTTCACAGAAGTTCATGTTAGCATTTTTTTTTAATTGCAGGAAGTATCAGGGTATCTATGACCACACATCACTTTAGAATTTTAATTAATGGTTAACAAAGGATATTTTTATGCATGAACTTAGTCAAATGTTGTAAGGGTCAAATCAGTCATTGTCTACTTTCTTGAGTACTGTTACTCCCTTTAATGTTCACCTAGATACTGCTTTTCAGGGATCTATTAATGTGGTTTGTATTCTTTGTAGTGTCCTGGATGTGTTCTGATTGCTTATGAGAGCATTTTTTTTTGTTGTTGTTGGTTATGGGGCTTGAACTCTGGGCCTGAGTGCTGTCCCTCAGCAATTCAGCTCAAGGCGAGTACTCTACCACTTTAGCTACAGTGCCACTTCTGTTGAGAGCACTTTTTAATAGAAGATCTAAATAGGGTTTTCAGTGAGTCACACTATGAAAATCCAAGAAAAATTGTTTTCATTGTTACCCTCATATGTAGCTAACCACTGTTTTAGATACCTACTTAGTCTTAATGTTATCATGCCAAATTATTAGCTCCTTAGAATTGTTCTTGTCTCTTTTGCTGGTACCAGAAATATATTCTGATATATTAGGGAAACTTTGTATTTTAATTACCAAGTTTATATAGAGGCAAAATATTTCTACTTTGATTTTTCTTTCTTCCATTGTATAGATAACACTGCAACCTCCAACTATTTTATGTAAGACAGATGCATGTATGTAAAAGAATGAAATTCTGGACTTGGTCTTCTCATGACTCAGGGCTAATTATTTGATGTAAACTGTGCCCTTACAGAAGCTGATGTCATTTGATGATGTGGTTGTGGACTTCAGCTGGGAGGAGTGGCAACACCTGGATATTGCTCAGAGGACCCTCTATAGAGATGTAATGCTAGAGACCTACAGCAACATGGTGTCCTTGGGTGAGCAAGAGTCACATTCACTTCCAAGTTCAATTGCTTTGTTTTTAGTAGATACAGGAATATTTATATTGTTTAGATAAAAGATTCCAGTCTGTGGTAAATACTAAGAAATACTTCAACTTGATTATATAACTCCTGAGGCAATTGTATTCTCATTCTTCAAAAGCCAAGTCAGCAATTTGACAAAAATTCTTAAGTATGTTTTACTACCAAGAGACTGTCTTCCTAAACTAGAGGTGAGTATTCCAGATGGATATACACTCTAGAATAGACTGTATATCACTATTGGAACTATGATCTGGATATCTCTAATGTGTGTATTTATAATGCAAATCTGAAACTGGGTCCAGTGGCTCACACCTATAATACTAGTTTTCATGAGGCTGAAGTCTGAGGATTTTGGTTTGAAGCCAGGCCAGGCAAAAAGCCCCCATGAGATTCTTATGTCCAGTTAAAAATTCAAAAACTGGAAATAGAGCTGGGACTCAAAACTCATAGAATGGTAACCATACAACTGGCAAAGTAAATCCAAAGCTGGGGGAAAGTCAACCATGTAGTGGTTAAGAAAAAAGAAACAAGATTTAGGAGCAACCTTGTGAGCAGGATGTCTGAGATCTTTGAGTAATATGGCTCAGCATGGGGAATGGTTCTCCACTGTTTCTTATTAACAGGGCATCATATTCCTAAGCCTAACTTGATTGTCAAGCTGGAGCAAGGTGCAGAACCATGGAGACGAGAAGACTCAGACAAGAATCTCACAGGTGGGTTAAAGCATGTTGCATAGTGATGTTGGAGCCAGAGCCCCATTGGTAAGTGCATCTTGGGCTGTACACAGCAATAATGTTCCTCGTTCCCCTGAGTCCTCTGTATGGCAGAAAGCTAGGTGATCCTTTGTGTCAAAGACTTCTGAGTCAAGAATTCATGTGGAGACATGCTGAATTCTGTGTGGCAATAGAATGAATGTTAGTAATTCTCTTTCCATTTTTGGAAATCATTCTGAAAAAGAAAAAGTAAAAGAAGTTTAGAAAATGAGATTTAATTTTCTTTGAAACTAGGACTCTGCAGGTATGACAAAATATGTAGTATACTCTAGCTGCTATCCTGCATTAAGGAAAATACAGCTTATCAATGGTGGTGGGAAGAGACTGTGTTTCAGAATTGAAGCTTTCAGTCTAAAGAAGATGAATACCTGGGAGATGAGATAGGGAGTATCCTTGGTCTTCCATGGTTTTGAGGGGCAGGAATGTCAGAAAAGGAATTTTGGTGAGACTTTGTGGAAGGTGGAGAGCAACAAAATTTAAAATTCCCACAGGTATCTAAAGTAATTCTTTTTTTTTTTTTTTTTTGGGGGGGGGGGTCCGGTTGTGGGGCCTGAACTCTAGGCCTGGGCGCTGTCCCTCAGCTTTTCAGCTCATGGCTAGCGCTCTACCACTTGAGCCACAGCACCACTTCCGGCTTTTTTCTTTTTGCTTATGTGGTGCTGAGGAATCGAACCCAGGGCCTCAGGCATTCAAGGCAAGCGCTCTACCACTGAGCCACCTTCCCAGCCCCTCTAAAGTAATTCTTAATGAGAAATTAGAACTGAAGAGATGTAGGGATAAACTCCTGGGTAGGTGAAAGGAAAAGGATGTACAAAACACTCTTATGCTCTCTGAAAATAGAAATTATTTCTGTTCCTCACCTAATGGTTGAGAAGCAAAGCAGCAAAATATATGAATTATTTCAATAAAATAAAGCAAAGCAAAGCAATTATTCTTTTCTCAAAGAATATTTGAGAAAAATGCAACCCCAAGAATATTAAAGACAAATCCTAAGGACTCAGCTGAAAACTTTAATAGTAAGTAGTTGAGTAAATTTGAGTAAACATTTCCTCTGCTATAAAAGAAGAAAAACCTGAAACAGAGAAAATCATAATTTTACATTCTAAAATATCAATTACTTTTTTTTGTCAGTCATGGGCCTGAACTCTGGGCCTGGGCACTGTAGCGCTCTACCACTTGAGCCACAGTGCCACTTCCGGCTTTTTCTGCTTATGTGGTGCTGAGGAATCAAACCCAGGACCTCATGCATGCAAAGCAAGCACTCAACCACTGAGCCACCTTCCCAGCCCCTCAGTTATTTTCTTAATTGATACATTAGGGAAAAAAGCATATATTTCTCATGAATCAATTACTACTTCGATATTTAAAAATCTCAACAGGATGGGAGAAAATGTCTTTATCTGCACATCAAGGAATCTTTTGATCTGATTTGTTTTTGTCTTTTTTTGTGTGACTCATTTTAGATGTCCAAGCAATGAAGGATGTGACTTCCTGCCAGGAAAGTCCAGATGAATATCTACGTGAAGTATCAGTCACAAATAGTAACACAGTGGAAGAAAGAACGAGATTAGTAACAACTTCTAATTTGAGCTCAAAAGATAAACTAGAGCTGATTAGGAATAATGGGAACTCTTTAGGGATGAGGACTGAGGTGTTCATTGAGTATCAGAACATGCTTCCCTATGGTGAGCCTGATGAGGTGCATGTTGCATATAAGCCTCCTGACCAATCCCTCAGATATTTAGATCATTTTAGTCAAAAGGATAAGAGTCCAAATGAGCTGCAGTATTTTGAACATAGTGGAAAAAGGAAGGTATTAAACTCAGAGATCATATTCTTTAGCCGTAATTGGGTTCATGTGAGAGAACCCTCCTGTAAATATAATGAATATAGAGAAGATTATAATAAGTCTACATTCCTTGCACAAGGAGTACATCAGGGAGGGAAAACCACACCTGAATGTGCTGTATATGGAAATTTGTTCTACTTAAGACCTATAGTCAGTACACATCAGAAAATGTACAAGGGAGACGATCCTTGTATTTGTAGTGAATGTGAGAAATTTTTCAGGAAGAAAATACACCTTACAAAACCTCAGAGCAAATATCCAGAGGAAAAATCCAATGAGTATATCCAGTGTGCAAAATCTACCTCTCAAAAGTCAAACCTGACTTTCCAACCTCAAACACCCATAGAAGACAAACCTTATGAACATGAGGAATGCAGGAAATTTCAGAAGTCAGCTCTCAGCAGGCATCAGAGAGCTTACATGGAAAAGGAACCTTATGAATGCAACCAATGTGGCAAATCTTTTACCTGTAAGGAACATCTTGATGTTCATCAGAGAATACACATAGGAGAGAAACATTATGAATATAAGAAATGTGAAAAGTCCTTCACCCAGAAGTCACAGAACAACAGACAAAAGTTATGTCACACAGCAGAGAAATTATTTGAATGTAACAAATGTGGAAAGTCTTTCACACGGAAGTCACACCTCACTTCGCATCAGATAACACACACAGGAGAGAGACCTTATGAATGCAACCAATGTGGAAAGCTTTTCAGGTGGAAGTCAAACCTCACTTTGCATCAGAGTACACACACAGGAGAGAAACCTTATGAATGCAACCAATGTGGAAGATCTTTCAGAATCAAGTCACACCTCACTTCACATCAGAGAACACACACAGGAGAGAAACCTTATGAATGCAACAAATGCGGAAAGTCTTTCAGAAGGAAGTCACATCTCACTTCACATCAGAGAACACACACAGGAGGAAACGTTATGGATGTAACACGAGTGGGAAGTCTTTCAGAGGCAAGTCAGACCATTTTGCATCAGAGAACACACACAGGATAGAAGCCTTATGAATGTAGCAAATGTGGAAAGTCTTTCATACGGAAGTCATTCATCCCTTTGCATGAGGGAACACACACAGGAGAGAAACCTTGTCAATGTAACAAGTGTGGAAAGTCTTTCAGAAAAGAAGTCATACCTCACTTTGCATCAGAGAACACACACAGGAAAGAAACCTTATGAATGTAACAAATGTGGAATGACTTTCAAGTGGAGATCAGATCTTGGCAGACATAACAGAATTCACACTGGTGAGAACCCTTATGAAAGTAACAAATGTGGAAAGTCTTTCCCCTGAAAGATATACCTCAGTGATCATCAGCGAAGTGACTCACCTAGGAGAAAAGAAAACTAATGAATATAGCAATGTGCAATGGCCTTTAATGAGAAATCAGTCCCCAGTGTATCCAAAAACCTACACAGGCGAGTATAGTAAATGTATAAAAAACACTTTTCCAGAAGTCACATCTTTACAGGTATCAGAGACCTGGACCCATGACAGAATCTCTGTGAAAGTAACTGTTAGAGGAGTTTGGTCAACCAGCAGTCAACTGATTCATGGCAGAGGTAAGCTAGGTTTAATGGGAAACTATTCTTTACACTCTGGTAGTCAGTGACCCATTTCTCATTCTCTCATTGTGTTGCGTGGGGATGATGTAGCTGCATTATTTAAAGGATTTGGACACAGTAATAGACATTCACTACTTCCAGGCTTGCACAGTAATTAAAAGAGTGAAGTCTTTTATAAGAAGGAATGGTTTTTCACAGTAATTTTATAAGCTCTTCTCAGAAATAAGAGCTGCAGGCCTTTCGGGCTGGAGTCAGATCATCTACAAGGTGTTTTGTGGAGCAATACATTAAAAAAAAAAAAACTTTACAGATTTGAGCCAATGATATGAGAATATAGATTTCTCTACTGCTCCCCTAAATTCTTCCACTGTATTTGTGGTCCATGCATTATTTCTTCCACTGTATTTGTGGTCCATGCATTATAACACAAATGAGTATTTACAGTTTATTTTTTGAAGGGAAGATCTTATGGAAGATACCAGTACTGTATTACAAAATATGCACAATAGTAAAATTTTTTTTATCACCTTTTGCCCTAAATTGATAAAACAAATTCAGAGAACCTGGAAGTACACACATTTGTAGATACATCTTCTTAGTGTATGGGTACAAGTCAAGAGACTAGACATTGTCCTTAAGAATTTTATCTTAATGCTAATGCTCTACCATTTGAGCCACCAGCTTCACTTCCAGTTTCTTTGGTGGGCAAATAAAGATAAGAGTCTTAACCATTTTGTTTTGAATGTGTAACCCCTAAATGACTTTTTTTTTTTTTTTTTTTTTTTGGTCAGTCATGAGGCTTGAACTCTGGGCCTGGGCACTGTCCCTGCACTCTTCAATTCAAGGCAAGTGCTCTACCACTTGAGTAACAGTGGCACTTCTGGTTTTCTAGTGGTTTATTGGAGATAAGAGTCTCACGGACTTTCCCATCCGGGCTGGCTTTGAACCGTGATCTCAGATCTCAGCCTTCTGAGTAGCTAGGATGACAGTTATGAGCCACTGGCACCCGGCATGACTTACTTTTTTTATTCACCTAATCACTGATGATGTGTCACTTGTGATTGATTCACTCTTAGCCCATTCTGTAGTTCTGCTAAGTAAGCTATAATACAAGTGTAGAGGATGTGAAGAGCCTAGGTTTTCTCACTGTTCTGGAGTCTGAAAGTGAAGTTCTCAAGAGGATGAATATCTCTCTCCAACTCTGTTCAGATAATTGTGCCAAAACACAATGAAGACATAGTTTTTATTCAATTCTATTCTGGTAGTAATGTAAAAAAATTAGAAATGTGGAAAAAATGAGGAACTAAGGCTAGTTAGAAGATGGTTACAGAAATCCCAGGGATGAGGGAGACAAGTCAGTAGGACTGTGCTAGACATTTGGTATGGTAAAATTCAGGTAAAAAGTCATCCTCGTCACTTCAAAATACTGTATGTACAATATTATGTTCCATATTTTCATTGTGCAGTGACTTCATATCCAAAACCCAGAATACATGTATTTCTTTGTGATGAGAAGTCATCTATCATTTGTAATCTCATGAAGAATTTATATTAAGTTAAGGAAGATATTATATTAAGCCAACCTGGTATAGAAAAATACTTAGTAATCTGTCATAAAATTGGAAGTTAAGAAAAATAGAACCAACTTCTCATAGAGGTTGAGAGTAGGATAGCTGACTCTGTGACAGTAATATTTCTTTACAATCATTTATCTGACTACAATTATATTGTACTTATTTTGAAGTACAGTGTGTTGTTCCACAGTTTCATCATGCAGTGATTGCATATCCAACAGCCAGAATGCATACATTTCTTTGTGAGAAGGCTGTCATTTGCAGGCTCAGGAATGATCCAGAAAGACATTAAGTGAAATAGCCAGGCAGAGAAAGACATTGAGCAATCTCACCCAAAAAGGGAAGCTAACAAAAATAGAACCAAAAATAGAATACTTGTTACCAGACGAATGAAGAGATTGTTCCATGTCTCCAGGAGTCTCTGTTCAGGATTTTGGTCTTCTTTGTCCTTTAGTGTCATTGCCATGAGTCAGTGTGTGCTTTTGAACACTTTCCAGTATGGCATGTGCTTAAATATCACAGACTGTTTATGTGGAAATGCCTTCACTGAGAGGAGTTTACATAGAAAAAACATCAGAGAAAATCGTGACAGAAATCAGGTTTGTGGCCGACAGAAATCAGGTTTGTGGCCTGATGTCCTGGTTTCAAATGGAACTTGGAATCTATACAATGTATAGATGAATTGATTCATTTTTTAAAAATATTTGCTTTGTGAAATACCAACATGAAACCACTTTGCACAACTAGCATGAATACAAAACAAATAAGAACACTGTTCAGAAAGAAATGTACTCAATACCTGACTTCAGTAACTGTGACCCCTCTGTATATCACCTTTACCATAACAATGTTTAAAAAAAGACAAAAAAAGAGGAATGTAAGATAGGTTCTGTTAAGGATGTATGTAGCAATGGGAACAGGGATGGTGAACAGATAGGGTAAAGGAATGTGAATATGGTCCAAAAAAACTGTGTGTGTGTGTGTGTGTGTGTGTGTGTGTGTATGTATATATGTGTACATATATATACATATATATATGTATATATATATATTATATATGGAACTTGCTGGCATTGATTTTGTTGTTATTGTTAGTGTTTTCTGCCATTCCTAAGGCTTGAACTCAGGGTGTGAGCACTGTGCCTGAACTTCTTTTTGCTCAAGACTAGCACTCTACCCGCTTGAGCCACAGCACCACTTCTGGCTATTTTTTTTTGTTTATGTGGTACTGAGGTATCAAATCCAGGGCTTCCTGTACGCTAGGCAAACACTGCCACTATGCCACATTCCCAGTCTTGCTGACATTGTTTGAAGAAAGGGGATGAGGAAGAGAAGAGAGTAAGGCTAAATTCATATGCATATATCAAAATATCACAATGCACCTCCTTTGTTCAACTAATGCATGCTAATTAAATATAAGGGAAAATAGCATAGTCAAAGAATTATAGGGTACAAAAGAATGTTCAACCTTCCAGGTGCTGGTGGCTCTTGCCAGTAATCTGAGATCTGAGGATCACAGTTCCAAGTCAGCCTAGTAAGGGAAGTCTGTGAGACTCTTACCTTCAATTCATCACCAAACAAAACAACCTAGAATTTGAATTGTGGCTCAAGTGGTAGAGCACTAGCCTTGAGCACAAAAACTTAGGGAAAGCCTTTAAGCCCTGAATTGAAGCTATATTTTTATGTCATAGTTGTCATAGATGTCAAATGCATTGTGATGTCATAGTTGATGATGCTACTTTATTTAAAATGAATCAATTACTGATATAGTTGGTTTAGTAGAGGTCATAAACAAAACTGATTAGTAGGCAGGCTCATTGTTTGTTCGTTGTTCTTGTGTTTTTCCTTTACTTATCCCCCCTTTTCCTTATCTAGTTGTAACTGGATATTTCATTTCATTCCATTTTCTCTTTTCACTTTTGATGCTCTAACCATGGGACTTGCACATGGAAGGTAGGTACTACACATCAGTCTAGTCTTTTTTTTTTTTTTTTAACATAAAAGTGTGCTTATTTAGTCAATTTCCCCTGCTATATAAAATATAAACTTACCAGTGACTTTAGTTTACTTTCAATAGTCCTTTACAGTGAGTGCAGTGGCCCAACAGAGAAGAGACTCAGTTCCTCTGCTGTCCCTTATAAATTTCACTTTTCCACAAACTAGCATCAACGGATATATTTCTGCTCTTATTACATTGAACACAATGTCATTTGTTGGGGTAGATAAGAAAAGTGAAGAAAACCTTTTCACTTATTTATTGTGAGTTTGACTGTTCCATCTTGCTGTACACTTAAGGTTCTCACTCTTGTGATTTCAGGTCTCCATGAACTACTTTTCAATTTGTTTTCTTTTTAGGACACAGGTGATACTACTGGTGATGAATCTATAACTTAGCACTTTATAAGGATATGCCATAAACTTGAGCCTTACCCAAAGCCCTTAAGTATTTTTGTTTACTTCGGACATTTTTGTGAATTTGTAACAATAGGTAAATCTAAAGGGTTGTTTCAGAGATTGAAATCCTCTTACTTAGGCCTATGTAGCTAGAATGATAAGCATGATCCATAATATCTCACTTATTCAAGCTATACCTGATGGCAAGCTATTTCATTTCTGCTTTTTTTTTTCTGAGCTAATGAGCTTAGAGCCTCTGAGTTTTCCTTGAGTTGTTTCAATGTTGGTGCTGTATCCCTGAAAGCCATGCTCCAGTTTGACAGTTTAGTAATTAAAGATAAATCTGAAATACTGCCTGACTTTACTGTAATGTTTGATTTTGGTTGTGATCCTCAGATCTCAGGCTGCTCAGTTTTTCCCCCCCACCTTTTAGAAAGTCTTCATTGCTCCTTTACTTTGAAGGATAATTTAAATGGCTACCAATCTTATGATTGGACAGGTTTTTCAACATTAAGATATTTAGTTCTGTGCTGTACCTATCCTAGCAAAGACACTTGGGGACATCTCCCAGCTCTGAGAGGAAGAAAGAAAGAATTGATGGGAAAATAATTCTCAAAAGAAGAATATTTAATATTTGGTGAATCTGAGAATTATTCTTTTAGAACTAGCACTCAAGAAAATAGCTTTTACAGTTAGCAATTTTTTAATGGTTTTTTTTTTTTTTTGGTAAAATACTGTTCAGAGGGTTTACAGTTACATGAGTAAGGTAATGAGTACATTTCCTATCAAGCATTGTTACCACCTCCTTTGTTTTTCCCCTACCATCCCTTTCCACCTCCCCAACTCATCCCTTAACCCCTCCCTGAAGTTGTAAAGTTTGTTTTCAACAAAGTCTCTTGCACATCTCATTGCTACAATGGGTCAACCTGTATCCTTATTTCTGTATTTTGTTATTTCCCTTCCCCTCCCCACATTATAAAAATGTATATACAAGATGCAGGGCACCAGAATCAAATACAGTGGAAACGGGTTATACCATGGGGGTAGAACATACAAAAGAAACAAAATCATGTAGTACATTATCAGTACATTAAAAACTACAGCAAGAACTACACAAGAGGTGTCCTTATCTTGGGGTTCATTTCACTTGGCATCAATATGCAAATTCTTTAACTGTTCAAAAAATGATGCAGAGGCTCTGTCATTTTATAGTGTTTGAATATAACAACTAATACCCTTCATTTACATGGACACAGAAAAGTTGACCTAAATTTAAAATTCTTAGAGCCAAGGTAGATGC